ACACACACATACATACACATATTCATTTGTATTTGGAAAAAGGAGAAAACAAGGGAAGAGTATCAGTGCAATGACTGCTAATTGCTAGTCGGCCTATTAAGACTGAAGGCACAACAGGCCTATCCAACCATCACTGCCTACAAACAAGAGCTTGGTTTTTTCCTTTTAATATTTTTATTGTATTCCTTTTTATACAGTTACCATGTTGGCTACAATGTGTGTGAAACTTGATTAATAACAACGATGGACATGTCCTGTCACCAGAATAAACGCGGAAGCGGTATCACAGCACAAAGAGCGTGCACAGTGGAGTCAGACTGCCTAAAGTCACACTCACTACTACTAACTAGCTACAAACTTTGGCAAGTAATTTAACATGGGTCTCCCTTTGTTTATTTATGAAGTGGTAAATGATTAGCAACAGCTGATTCTTGTCTTCTCTACATTACTGGTCTTACCTGAATAGTTTCTTCTAAGCGGTAGCAGTCAAGGACTTGCAGCGTCTCTGTAACTTGATTTGGGTTGAACTGACAACACAGCTCAATGAACTGCTCTGTAATACAGGGAGATATCTGCAACAATTCTTGATTTATATGAATACCTTCCCTGAAAACATAAAAGGCAAGAGAGTAGGATTATGTAATCATATCTATCATTAAGGCTACAGGTTAAAAACTATGTTACCATAAAACCAAGACTACCTTTTGGTCAGGTAAAATTGTGAATTAAAGATCTCACTGTTACATAGGTTACTAGAGAGAATTGTGTAATGCATCAGAGGCATTCTAAATCACAATGTCTCTCAGTTTCTACTGAATAATTAAAGAAATGATATTCAGAAGACAGCCTCTAATACCAAAAGTCATTCTGTTGCTCCGGAAGAAACAAAGATGACTGGATTCAGTTTAAACAATTTGATCCATGAGTAACTATATATAATAAACCATCTTCCAGTCTCAACAGCTTTCCCTGCTATACTTCCCTTGTAGCACCAATTACATCATGTTGTAATTACTTCTTTAATTATCTGTCTTCTCTAAAGGACTATGAACTTCGTGAGGGTAGGCACCAGGTATCTTCCCATTAATGAATTTGCAAAGCCTACGACAGTGTCTTGTATGTGGTAAAGGCTAACTATTTGGACTTATTTGTTGAACAGAAAAGAGGATGAATAGTAGGATACACAGTATTTATGTGTTCATTTGCCTTGCAGGCCAGTTCACAAAGCCCACTGTTCATAATGTCTACACAAATGCCTACTTCTGTGCAGGATTAGTTTTATCATGGTGTACACTGTACTGGTGGCCAAAGGAACTATTTAGACAATCCTCTGCTGCTCACTGAGACCTAAAAATCATTTCTCTAGCTACAAAAGAAGTCAGTTCCTTCTGACAGTCCTATCTTCTCTTCAGAATTCTTCAACTAAAGCTTTTTATATAAAAACTGGAATAGGGCTAATAAGATGCAAAAATGATAGCTTACAAAACTAACTTTCTAAAGAAAGGTTAAGACAGTCTAAAGCAACACTTTTCAGCTTTTCTCATATCATGGGATACAGAGGATTTGTACAGCCCACTGAAGTGAAATAAGACTGATTACAGGGGACTCTGGTTGCCCCATGAGCCACCCCTGGGTTGAGGGGGCACCTATGACCATGTGCAGCACACCAGGACACCAACAGCCACACATGGGAATCCCCAGAATCCAGAGGGAACAGTCTGAGGGTTACAAGTACTCCAAGTATAAGTCGCGGCAAACAACACTCCTGTTTTTACTAGTAAGAGACTTCAGTTGCAGAAGGAGGAATTATATATAGACGTAAGGAATCTCATAAATTAAGAGCTTTGTGACACTCAGTCTTGAGAAAAGGTTGGGTGACAGTCTCAGTAAGTTCTGCTGATTGGGACTTTCAATACTAGCTGATGGGCTGATTCATTCTCTCTCCAAATGGCTGTAAATTTCAAAGATCAAGTTTTTAGGGTTCTTTTTTTTGTGTTTCAAAACTACCTGTAATGTAGAGTATTAATTAAGTGACTCGTTGGTTATTCCCTATGTAGATCAACACCTTAGTTCTTACCATATAACTTGAAAATTACTTAAGAGTCTGTGTCCTAACTACACTATAAACCTGAAAGCAAAGATGGTGTTGCATTTGTTGTAGTTTCCCAAGCATTAGCAAAGTCTTAGCACATTATCATTAGGTGTTCAGTAAATGTGCACTGAATTGAACTGAAGTGAATGGAGATGGTGCACTGGACTGCCTTCAAACAAAGGGAACCAAATATGGGATAGGGGTGAAAAGTACAAGGACTAGGGCTATAAAGTCATATACAGCTAGGAATAAATTCTGTCAGAAAGTTCCACATGGAGAAAATAGATAACACATGATACACCAAGGGAAGTGATAGTTCTTAATGTAGGACCAAGGTTGTCTCAATAGAAAATTATTAGGTAAAAGAGAAAGGACATGCTAACTAATGATTCTCAAAATTAAAGTGACTTTTCAGATGTTTATGCAATATTGTAAGTGGTATTAATATCTCATCTATGTCAGACTTCTGTTAAGATGTCTTACGAATGCAAGACTATGGAGCAAATTAAGATTAGACATAAGCACCTGCCAATGAGTCATAGTATTTAATTCTTCCAAGAACATTTATTGACAAAACTTTTTATAAGTAATGATAATGTGAATATGCATCAAATCAAGCAAATCACCCAGATGAATAGACTTTGATTCTCTCATTTGTGAGGGAAATAATAAATCTCCTGGAAGATGATCAGACATCAACATAATCAAAACATTAATAAATAAATGGTAGCATTAATGAATTTACATTCATTTCTGATAGTTGCTTATCAGTATTTATTGCACATAAATACAATTTGTTATATCAATTTCCCAAAGCTAATTTTTGTTAGTCTTCTATTAACTACCTGCTTTGCCATATACCACTGCCAACTTTAATGGCTGTCAAAATTATGTATTTTAAGATAACTTTATCTGCTCTTTCAGGAACTCATTTTAATAACAGCATTAATTTAAAAAATATAAATATCTAACTATATATAACAGGGAGAAATTTACAGGCCATACACAAGGCTTTCTCTCGTCAGCTTTAAAAGCAAGCACGTATGTATGTCTTGTGAAACACACACAAACCAACCACAACCCCAAATTTAAGCTGAAGAAAATATCCACTCTTACTCAGGTTATGAAAATAGTTTAAAATTATGATCTTGTACATTAGGCCATCTTTGGGGAAGGATAAACTATATATCAGTTCTGAAAAAATTACATTAAAATGATCTTAAAATGAAAATTCTGATTTCAAAATACTTAAAAAAGAAAATAAATGTTGCACAGAAATGAAAAAAGTCTGGTCTAGTCCCTACCCCTCACTATAAATACTGTACAAAAATAAGCCAGTCTAGACTACTGTGCTAGGGTTAAGAGGAACGAAGTTTCACAATCTCCCTCAGTGACTTGTTTTGACAATTTAGGGCCATCTCAGCTTAGCCTAAATCCTGATTGATTAAATTCTCTGCTCATTTCCATTCAGTCCTTGGAGGTGTTGGCATACTGATGACTACATGGTACCTTTCAGACTTAGAACATGACACACAGAGGGAAGAAAATTATTTTCCATATATTCTTTCTAGTTTTCATTCAAATTAAATTGTTTCACAAGGCTGTTTAGCTGAAGTTTCAGTTTTGCATATACATTCCATCTTAAAAATGTCACACGGCAATCCTGTGTCAACTGAACAAAACATAAGTGAGTGTGCCAATCTGCCTGGAAACTACTTTAAATATGATTACAGATAGCAAAGACAAAACCTACAAAATTTATATGAAATTGTAACATAACAATAACGTTTCACAAACTGGTCAGGCAACGGGCTTAGATGAAAACCTGTCCTGTGGCAAGACAGAATCCAGTAGCATGCTTTGGTCTCTTTGATCTCCATAATGGTACTTTACATCATGCAGAGCTGTCAGTATCCTCATACAGGAACTGCCACATCCCTTACAAACTCTCATGAGGCACAGACCAAAGCAGACAAGTGCACATTCTGTCTAACAGCAAAGATTCTGCCACACCAAATCAATATAATAGCATCAATGTAAAGATCTAAGATAGATCTCGAGGGGCCCTGGTCACTTTCCATTTCCCTAGTTTGACTATTAATCAAGCATCAAAATGTCTAATGAATGTTAACAGACTTTTTTCTTATCTAATATTCATGAACAAGAAAGTGTATTGTTTTGAATGTCCTCCTGTATAAGCAGGAATAACGGCCTTTATAAGCTAATGGAAATAGCATCATGATTTTAGGGATAGAAAAAAATAATTTAGTTCATAACCTTATCAGGTATAAATAGTATCTAGATCATTCCAATGCTGTACAGACTTCAGTTAAAAACTCAAAAGGATAGCTAAAACAATTTTTCCCAAGTACTACTATTAATAAGAGTGATAAGAAGGGATGGTAGTTACCTGCAATGTGTATTTTCTTCCTACTGCAAAAAGCTCTCCTTATCACTGAAAAGGTTAAGAGAAGAAAGAGCAAAAGAAACAGAAGACATATCTGAAGCAGTAACGACTAAGAATTTCCCCATATTAATGACAGATACCAAATTACTGATTCAGGAAGTTCAGAGAACACCAAGTAGAATAAACAGCAAAAAATCTATACCTAAGCATGTCCTATTCAAACTGCAGAAAATCAAAGACAAAAACAAAATCTCGGAAGAAGTCAGAGGGAAATAAACACTTTGCCTATAGAGAAGCAAACATAAGAATTACATCAGACTTCTCTTCATAAATCCCACAAGCAAGAAGAGAGAAGAGTGATATATTTAAAGTGTTGAAAGAACCACCAACCTAGAATTCCATATCCAGCAAAATTCTCTCTCAAAGATGAAGAAGAAATACTTTTTCAGACAAATCTAAATTGAGGGAATATGTTGTCAGTAGACTTGCCTTTAAGAAATGTTAGTTCTTCAGAAAGAAGGAAAATGATACAGGTCAGAACATAAAGAAAGGAAGAACATTAGAAAAGGAATAAATGAAGGTAAAATAAAATCATTTTTCTTAATTTTAACTGATCTAACAGAAAAGTTTGTCCAAAAGAATAAGAATAACAGTGTATCTGTGATTGTAGCTTATAGATATGTGAAATGAATGACAGCAATGTTGTAAGGGACAAGAGGGAAGAATCAGGAATCCTCTGGTACAAGGCACTTGTGTTATCTCATAAGGATAAATTTTGAGATATCTTAAAATTAAGTGACATGAGGTCCAGAGAAAAGGGGAGAGAGACAAAGGAAGATAATCAGTCAATAGCTTTGGGCTGTAGTTTACTAGAAACTCCATGTTCCTGGATGAATTTCAATAATTATGTAGAAGGTCCCCAGAACCACTGCATCCCTCCTGTGTGTGAACAGTATCTGACTATCACCAACAACCAATCCAGGGGACCTTCTCTATGGACTAACCACCTATCCCCGGACTTTCCATGCTTTGCATTAACCCACATTCTTTATCTGCAGCCAATGGGAATTTAAAGAACTTTCTTTCCTTGAGAACCCTTATAAATGT